CCCCATCATCCCCTGAATAAGCCACGCTGCGCTGCGTTAGGCTACGCTAAGCTGAATTATGATTGTGACTGCGACAGCTCCTGTGTGCTCCTGCGAGTATGTGTCTGTGTGCGTTATGTGCGCCCACGACCCCGAGAGGCACATCGAGCAGCCACTTTCGTTCAAGAAGCGCCCCTGAAAATTGCCGGGCGGCGCGAGGGGAGCCAAGCCACGATCCACAGCCCGAGGAATGCGCGCAGGCGCTGTACATGCGAGGGGGCATCGCCCACGAGCAGATCCCGGCGGACGCACGGAGTGGAAGCCACTCTGCCCTTCGAGGCACGCCTGGGCGAATCATGCGTAAAGCAGAGGCGGATCGCGGCGCAGGTCGATCCACCCATGCAGCGGCGAGCCGTTCGAAGCGGCGGGCGGCACACGCGCGCCACGAGGAGCCGTTCGAGGCGGCGGGCGACCCACGCGGCACGGGCCGCAGGCCGCCCGCCCGCACCGCCGAGGCTTCCACCTCGCGAGGCGCAGCGGAGCGCTGCCCAGGCACCTGGCCTGCAGAACCCCCCCGAGGCAAGAAACAATCACGACGGGAGGTTTTTCACTATTTGGGGCCTTTGGGAGTCCTTACCGGCCCTCGGGACCGTCAAAAAACGACTCCGGACGAGAAACCGGTGCTGGGGAATGTGTCGAGACCTCTAAGGGTCGCGTCATGAAAAAATCATGACGTCGGGGGTCTGGGCTGCCTGCCCCATCGCCGCGGTGCTGCTCCAGTGGGCGCCCAGGATAGGTACACACGCGTGCCACGAGGGGCCCGCAAGCGGCGGGCGGCACGCGCGACACGTGCCGCTGGCCGCCCCCCGCACCGCCGAGGCCGAGGCCGCGAAGCGCCGCGGGCGCTGCCACGGAAGCGGGCCCAGCGCCGCGTGGGGCAAATCGGGTCTGTAGTCGATCCCCTGTTCGACTCCTACTCCTCTGGCCGCCGCCGCCGCTGCTTCGGGTGCCGCCCGCCACCGCTGCGGGCTCGCCCGCTGCCGCTCGCCCGCCCGGCCCTGCCCGGCTGCGGCGGCGGACGCGCTGCTGGCGTCAGCGGTCGCCCGTCGCTGGTCAGGCGGAGCTCTCTCCTGGTGAAGAGCTTGGTGGCCGTGCCGTCCGGGAGGGCGACCACGTCGTACCCCTCGGCGTCGTTCATCCACGTGGCGGCGACGGAGCGCCTCGCCGCCAGCGTGGCCTCCTTGGCCTCCTCGCGCGCCGCGGCCAGGTCGGCGATGCAGCGCTCGGGGTAGGACGCTCCCAGCTGCACGCCCGCGTGTGCGAGCACGTCGGGCGGCGCCTCCCAAGGCTTGTGGAGAAATCTGGTGGGCAGCCGGGCAAGCTCGGGCAGCCAGCGGCGGACGTAGGCGCCGCTCGGGTCCTGGCTCTTCGCCGACACGGGCGATGTGCGAAAGTTCCACTGATCGGCGCCGCTGCGCCCAGCGTTCTGCCACATCATGGAGTTGATGGCGACGTCGCTGTCCACGAGCTGGTCCTCATACCACCTCGCCCCCTCGACCCACGAGATGTTCAAGAACTCGGTCAGGAAGCTGGCCGCCACCATCCGCATGTTCTGCTGCACCCAGCCGGTCGCCCGCAGCTCGCGCATAGATGCATCCACTAGCGGGTAGCCCGTACGTCCGCGCTGCCAGCACCTCAGCATGCCATCGCCTGGGTCCCGCCACTGCGTGGCGTCGTAGTGCGCGCGGATCCCCTTTCTCTGCATCTCGGGGAAGTGATGCATCTGGAAGTATGCCAGGTCCCTCCAGAAGAGCCGACGGCCGAACGTCTTCGTCTGCTCGCGCGGCAGCCCCGCGTCCCTGACGGCCCAGAATAGGTCGTGGGGGGAGAGCTGCCCCCAGCGCAGGAACGCCGACAGCTTGGAGTTCGGATTCGCCTCCAGGTCAGCCCGGCTGCGCTGCTGCTCGTAGGCCTGCAGGCCGTCCTGGCGCTGGACGTACTCCTGCATGCAGGCCAGCGCACAGCCCTCGGAGATGCCTGGCCAAGCGGCGCGCAACGACGCCCCCCAGTCCTGACCGCCGGGCGCCACGCCCGCTTCCAACCCGAGCGCCTCCAGCGCCTCCGAGCCCGGCCGAGCCGCAGGGGCCCGCAGCCGCTGGGGCGCCGGCAGCGGCCGGCGCGGCTCGCCGAGGGCTCGGCAGGCGTTGCAAAACGGCATGAGCGTGCCCCAGTGCCCCGAAGTGTAGCCGCGGCGCACGTCGATAGCGGCGGGCTCGTACAGCAAGTAGCCGGCGTGCCCGTGCGCCTCTACGCCCTCGGCGCGGAGGCGCTCCGCCGTCCGCTCGTCGGCCTGCCGGCACAGCGGCTCGTAGCGGCGCGCAAAGTGCACGCTGCACGCGCCCACTTCGCGGGCCACCTCCAGCAGCGCCTCGGCGTAGCAGCGCGCCCGCCGCAGCACCAGCGGCGACCCCAGGGCCGCCAGTCCGGCGCCCAGCGACCGCAGTGCCTCGCGCAGCCAAACCTGCGCCGCGCGCCCCGGGGCGTGGGCGCCGTCCTCCTCCGGGCACCACACGAACACTCGTGGAAGGGCGCCAGCTGTGCACGTAAACCGATCCTGGCCACGCTCATCCTGGGCCCAGGGTCGCTGTCCTGGCCTGGGAGGCACACGCGCCGACCCTGGGCCCAGGATCGGCCCGGCCAGGATCGGCGTTGGTGCAAAGCTGGTGCCCTCCGAGCTGGCACCACGGCGTCGCTCCGCCGGCTCGCCGCCAGCAGCGCCGCGCTGTCGTGCGTGCGGAGGTCCTGCCGCAGCCACACGAGTGCGACGCGCTCCTGCCCCACCGCCCCGCCGGCGGCTCGGCGGGCTGCGCGCGGCAGGCGCCCGCCGCCGCGCCTCCTCGGCCGAGGCCGGGCGAGGAGCCCCAGCGCGGCCAGGCCGGCCGCGTGCCGCGGCGCCGCCGCGCCGCGCAGGCCCGCTGCGCCCGCGGCGCCCGCCCCGCGGCCCCGCCGGTGGCCCGCCAGCCCCACGCGGCACCCGCCGCGCCGTGGGCGGCGGTCGCCGCCCCGCCCCACGCGCCGCGCGCCGGCGCGCGCGGGGCACGGCAGGCAGAGGCGGCCATGGGCCACCACGGGCGAGGCCGTGCCGTGCCGGCACGGCCGCCGGCGGGCCGCCGGCCTCTCCGGAGGGCTGGCCGCGCGGCGCGCTCCGGGCGGGCCTCCGGCAGCGGTGGCGCCCCAAAGCTCTTCCTGCAGGGGGCGCTCGTCGCCAGGGACGGCCGGGCTCGGCGAGGGCAGCGGGCCCGAGCCAAAGTGGCTGAGAAGCAGGAGGGGAGTGGCGGGGCAGGGGGAGGAAGCGGATGGAAGAAGAGAAGAGAGGACGACGACGGGGAGCCATAAGAATTGTCCCCCCCCCCCGTGGCGACATCCTCAACGCCGAAACTCGAGCAAACGAGTGTGGCGGGCGGTGTTTGCCGAGCGGCACCTGGAAAAGATGGGTCCGAATTGCCACTCGGGGTTGATGCATCAACTGCTCGCCCAGTCCTCGTTTGCTCTCACGCTCGAAGCAGCAGCCCGCAAAAGGCGCTCCTGGTCGTAGGTCGTGCGGCGCATTGCGCGAGAGGCAAACCATTCCTGGGCCAAAGACTCTCGCAGGCGGGTGCCCCGACCCCAGACCCCCGACGTCATGACTTTTTCATGTCGCGCCCCCCAGAAGTCCAGACCCATTCCCCGGGACCTGTTTTTCATCCTGAATCATTTTTTGACGGTACCGAGGCCCGGTAAGGGCCTCCAGAGGCCGAAACCTGTGAAAAACATTCCGTCGTGATTTTTCCCTACCTAGGCTCTGACTAGAAGGGTTCTTACTCTCTTAGCTTAAAGGGGCCTGGCAATGGAAACCGCCCCGGGCGGTTCCCCCAGTCCCCGCCTCGCGGTTCCCCCAGTCCCCTGGGAGCTTTAGCCTTAGCTTTAGCTTTAGCTTAGCTTTAGCTTTAGCTTTAGCTTTAGCTTTAGCTTAGCTTTAGCTTAGCTTTAGCTTAGCTTTAGCTTAGCTTGAGCTTAGCTTCAGCTTAGCTTCGGCTTAGCTTCAGCTTAGCTTCAGCTTAGTGTTAGCTTAGCTTTAGCTTAGCTTCAGCTTAGCTTCAGCTTAGCTTCAGCTTAGCTTTAGCTTGGTGGTAGCTTAGCCTTAGCTTAAAGTTAGCTTAGCTTTAGCTTAGCTTTAGCTTAGCTTCAGCTTAGTGTTAGCTTAGCTTTAGCTTAGCTTAAGCTTAGTTTTAGTTTCGCTTCATCTTAGTGTTAGCTTATGTTAGCTTAGCTTTAGCTTAGCTTTAGCTTAGCTTTAGCTTAGCTTTAGCTTAGCTTCAGCTTAGCTTTAGCTTAGTGTTAGCTTAGCTTTAGCTTAGCTTTAGCTTAGCTTCAGCTTAGCTTTAGCTTAGCTTTAGCTTAGCTTCAGCTTAGCTTCAGCTTAGCTTCAGCTTAGCTTCAGCTTAGCTGTAGCTTAGCTTTAGCTTAGTGGTAGCTTAGATTTAGCTTAGCTTTAGCTTAGCTTTAGCTTATATTTAGCTTAGCTTGAGCTTAGCTTTAGCTTAGATGTAGATTAGTGTTAGCTTAGCTTTAGCTTAGCTTTAGCTTAGCTTAGCTTAGCTTTAGTTTAGCTTCAGCTTAGCTTTAGCTCAGCTTTAGCTTAGCTTTAGCTTAGCTTTAGCTTAGCTTTACTGTTACTACTAATGCTGCTTTCCTAGGGGCTCCAACTCCTAGGTAGGCTCGCACTGAGATAATTGCATGACTCGAGGGGGTCTGGGACGAAGGAAACCTGATCAATCTCCTCTGAGCGGCATATCCATCTGCCGCTCCCTCATCCAATTCCGCCTTCCGTCCTAAACATCCCACCCTCCATCCTCCAAGCCCTTCCTTATTTCTCTCCCTCCTCCCACTCTCGCCCACTTGCTCCCAGAGGCTCCCAACTCTGGGCCATGCGGCCCCAGCGACCCTTCAGCGCCTCCTGGGTCTGCATGAAACGGTAGCGG